TAGCCTGTCATTTGGTATAGAGGAATCAGGATCAGGAACAAGTCCATCCTCCTTTGGCATAGGAGGTCCATCATAACGTGAACCACTCCTTAGAGTGATTGCATTGGCATGACCTGTGGGATGGATTGGTTGCGATGGTAAAGCTCCATGCTGACGGGTTTGTAGGGTAGATTTAAGTTGCGCAATTTGATTATCCATGATTTTATTATGAGCTATAATTTAATCAATTTGTGCATCCCTACTCTCCATATGTTTTTGCATGTTTGTAAGCATTGCTCTAATTTTTGTCATAGCAAGGTCAGAAGATGAGGAGGGTTGTGGCCAGAATTAAGATGATAATATTTCTGCTGTGGTGGAGGTTGCTGTTGTGGTTGTTGTGAAGGTGGAGGGTTTTGTACATTGGTACTCCGGTAAGAAAGTGTTGGGGTTTGGTATGTCCATCTTACCGCGGAAACGACCCCGACCCAAAGAACCACTCGCAATTAATAAAAACCATAAAGCATAAATAAATTAATTACAAGATTAAGACAAGATAATTACCTTTGGAGCGTACTTCGCCCAAACGGAACGGGCTCTTACTTCGAAAGCAAGCCTCAAAAATACGACGGCCTCCTACGATAGTCCACCCACAACCCGACCACCGAAAATGGTCCAATGCCTTGGAGTTAGCAAGGCCCGACCTAAAACCCGAATGATTAATGAGTTCAAAGGTTTTCACAATGGTGATGCCTTTTTCAACTCTCACTCAAGTGATTTTCCAATACCCCAACTTGGGTATTTATAGGGAAAATAAGAGAGTGAAAAACTCTCCCATCAATGTGGGAGAATTTGATTTTCCCATTTTATTTTAAAGCTAAAATAAAATTAATAATCAAACTAGTAATAAATCAACAAGTGGCAAGTTCATGAGAGAGGTTAGGTGAGGACCATTTGGAGGAAGGGGGGACCAAACTTGCTCCCCACTCCCTCTCCTAAAACCGGCCAACACACCCCCTCAAACTCCTCTCATGTCGCGCCATGTGGCACCCACTTGGGCACCAAGGCACCCAAGGTGGGCTGCCTTGCCGTGACTGCCCAACAGGCCCAGCAGCGCTAGCATGCGCGCAATGGCCCAGCCATGCTACTGCTAGCTGTTGTGGCTAGGGCACATTGCTTTCAATCTCCCACTTGTCCTTCCGGACAAGTGCGCATTTAGAGTACAGCCTTTTCCTATGTCACTTAATGTCTCTTCATGAACTATAAGGTAAGATTATTTCGTCGTCCTTATTACGTCCAGAAGTGTTTCTCGATTTCGAGTCTGACTGTCAATAAACAGATGATTTCTAAAATCCATTCGAGCACGGCCTTGCATTTTTACAGTCTCGCTCTACGAGAGGCCTTGTATACAACAAAGACATCTTCCCTATTTTAGTAGGGGGACATTCCCAGTCTTGTAATGTAGCTCCTCTTATTGAGAGGACCTAGCCGCCCGAGTGTTGCCGTTATAATCCCCTATTACGGCAGACCTTTGACAACATCAAAGCGGACTAGTACTCAAACAAGAGAACTCACAATACTCATGGTCGAGGAAATAGGTTCCGATAGCCATAATGAGAAGTATACTTAGGACGGTTTTTAATCTCTTAAAGTATTCTCATAGGTCGATCCAATATGGTTCTAAACCAATACCTGTGCAAATTATTTATGACAATCATATCCTCATAGCACAAGAAACGGTGCTATAAATCAGACTACACACTAATCTCAATTGGTCATTAATCATCCATCGTTTAAATAACCTTAATTAGGGATAATTTTCGATTATAATATTCAACGTTCACTTAATAGGTGTTTCCTTACCAAGACTGGTCTTGATACCCTATTTTGAATATTCTAAGAATCGAATGGACTCATTATTTAATCCTAAACCACAATTAAATAGCAAACGGAGTAATAAAATATTGCATGAAATTTATATTACTCCAAAACTTGAATGATTTTTCTTAGTGTCTTACATTAAATGTTAAAAATTTAACTAAAACACTAAACAAGAAAATCAAAGCCAGTCTCCTACATGCCTGATTCCCATTGCCTCAACGTGCTTGTTGTGCTTCACTTGAGGCAAAGTTTTAGTAAGTGGATCGGCTACATTGTCATCCGTTCCAACTTTGCAAATTTTGATTTCACCTTCTGATTTCCATTCTCAAATCATGTGAAACCGCTGTTTGACATGTTTGACTATCTGATGTTCCCTTGGCTCTCTGGCCTGAGAAATAGCTCCATTGTTGTCAGAATAGAGGGCTATTGGACCCTTTATGGAGGGTACAACACCAAGTTCACCAATGAACTTACGAATCCAAACAGCCTCCTTAGCCGCTTCAGCAGCTGCTAAGTAATCGGCTTCAGTTATAGAATCTGCGGTTGTACTCTGGTTGGCACTCTTCCAACTGAATGCTCCTCCATTTAGACAAAACACATATCCAGATTGCGATTTGAAATCGTCTCTGTCTGTCTGGAAGCTTGCATTGGTATAACCTTTAAAAACTAATTCATCTGAACCACCATACACCAGGAATTTATCCTTGTTCCTTTTCAGGTACTTTAAGATATTCTTGGTCGTAGTCCAATGGGCCTCTCCTGGATCTGATTGGTAACGGCTCGTAGCACTCAAGTCATACGATACATCTGGCCTAGTACATATCATGGCATACATGATCGATCCAATAAGCGAAGCATATGGAATCAGATTCATTCTTTTCCGCTCATCAAATGTCTGTGGACATTGCTTCTTGCTTAGGGTTATGCCATGTGACATTGGTAGGTGACCTCTCTTGGCCTCTTCCATGCTAAATCGAGCAAGTACCTTATCAATATAAGTACTTTGACTCAATCTAATCATCCTTTTTTATCTATCCCTATAGATTTTGATGCCTAGTATGTACTGAGCCTCTCCTAAGTCTTTCATTGAGAAGCATTTTCCAAGCTAGGCCTTTACAAACTCTAATGACGGAATGTTGTTTCCAATGAGCAATATGTCATCGACATATAAGACTAGGAAGACAATGTCATTCCCACTGACCTTCTTGTAAACACAAGATTCATCTGGATTCTTGATAAAACCAAACTTCCCGATGGCTTCATCGAATCGTAGATTCCAACTTCTGCTAGCTTGCTTTAGTCCATAAATGGACTTCTTGAGCTTACAAACCTTTCCAGCATTGTTTTGGTCGACAAAACCTTCAGGTTGTGTCATATAAACAGTTTCTTCCAAAATACCATTTAGGAAGGCAGTTTTGACGTCCATATGCCATATTTCATAATTGTAATATGTAGTAATCTCTAGGAGGATCCGAACGAATTTAAGCATTGCGACTGGTGAAAAGGTTTCATCGTAATTAATACCATGAACTTGTCTGTAATCTTTTGCCACTAATCTAGCTTTGTAAATGAATACATTTCCATCTTTGTCGATTTTCATCTTGAAAATCCACTTGCATTCGATAGGTGTATAACCTTCGGGTAAGTCAACCAAGTCCCAAACTTGATTTTCAAACATGGAATCCATTTCAGATCTCATGGCCTCATGCCATTTATCAGAGTCGGTGCTTGCCATCGCTTACTTGTAGGTTGTCGGTTCATCTCCATCCATAATCAGGATGTCCTCTGAGATCTCGGTTAATACTAAACCAAGATATCTATTAGGTTGAGATCTCGGTCTCTGAGACCTACGTAGGGTAATGGATTGAGCATTTGCATTGTCGGTTTGACTTTGCACATTTTGATCATTTTTACCTACGTCAACAGATGTTGTTTGAGCACTTTGACTGTCATTATGATTTTGTTGCTCATCCTCATGAACTTCGTCGAGTTCGATTTTCCTCCCACTTGTCATTTTAGAAAGGTGTTCCTTCTCCAAAAAGACACCATCGCGAGCAACAAACACTTTGTTCTCCAATTTGTTGTAGAACTAATACCCTTTGGTTTCTTTTGGGTAACCCACAAAGTAAACCTTGTCAGATTTGGGATGAAGTTTGTCAGAAATTAATTTATTGACATATGCTTCGCATCCCCATATCTTTAGAAAAGAAAACCTAGGAGGTTTCTTTGTCCATAATTCATATGGAGTCTTTTCTACAGCTTTTGATGGTGCATGGTTCAGTGTTAGTGTCGCAGTTAGAAGTGCGTGTCCCCAGAAAGAGATAGGAAGATCACTAAGACCATTGTTGATCGTACCATGTCTAACAAGGTCCGATTTCTCCTTTCGGATACTCCATTCCATTGTGGAGTTCCTGGAGGTGTCAATTATGAAAGTATACCTTTTTCTTTCAGATGGTCATCGAATTCTTGGCTCAAGTATTCACCACCTCGATCCGATCGAAGGGCTTTGATTTTCTTGCCAAGATGATTTTCAACTTCACTTTGAATTTCTTTGAACTTTTCAAACAATTCAGATTTATGCGACATTAGGTAGACATAACCATATCTACTATAGTCATCCGTGAAGGTGATAAAATATCGGTGTCCATTTCTTGTGGTGGAGCTCATTGGTCCACATACATCAGTATGTATTAGACCTAATAAGTCTCCTGCCCTTTCTCCCAGCTTGGAGAATGGTTGCTTAATCATCTTTCCTAATAAACATCCCTCGCAGTTCTCAAACGATTCTAAATCGAAAGAGTCACACTACACCAAAAACTAGATTATAGATCGCAAAATATAGAACGGTTACCAAAGATAGGCATTCTCCAGAAGAATATAGAACGTATTTATATAAGAGGCGTTCTGTATGTAAATACATATGGATCGGTTAGTATAGTTAACCGTTCTCTATTTTTTTACTCTGAAATAATTTTAAAAAATAATTAATTATTACAAATAATATAGAACGGTCATCTTAACAACCGTTTTGTATTGTATTAATTAATTGTTTTTTTTAATTATTAGGAGGAAAAAATATACATAGTAATAATTTCCCAAATTAATTAATTAATTAAAGGCGGCTTAAAAGGAATTGAAAGCGCACTCCTTAATATCACTTTCACTTTACTAAACCTTAAAAAAAATAATTCAAAGTACTGCTTGTTTATTGCTTCAATTCGTGAAACCTCCACCGATGTAATAACCTTCAGCCGCTGACTCACCGCTCCACCGACGCACCACCGATCGCCGCACAACTTCTGAGCACTGCACCACTCCGATGAGGTAGGTTCGATTCTTCTTGTTATAGAGTAATTGAATTTTGATTATTTATCAATTGAACTGCATGAATCATTCGAAATGTGAAGGAAACATAATTAAATTCATAGTTTTCATCTATTAAATTAATTTGCAATTTGAATTTTAGGTCATTGAAAAAAAAAAAACTTCAAAGTTCTAGTTTTAGGGTTAAATTCAATCGATTGTTTGTATGCAAATATTTCAGTTGAATTATAGTAAGTTCAATCAATTACCCTTAATTTTGTCAAATTTACATTAATTTCAATAGTAATAAAAATAATTTTAGCTAAATTCATCTTACCTATGTTTTTGAGTGCGTTGGATACAATGTGTTGTTTCAGCAGTCTATATAATTAGGTGATAATCTACTGCTGTCTTGTACTGGGGTAGGAGAGGTGATGTTGATTCGGAATTCGGAATTGTATATAACCTAATTGAAATTTGGTAAAATTTTAATTTGATGTTATGATTGCTGAGAAGGTTGAATGTCATTTTTGTGATAATTATGCCATTATTTTGCTATTAATTAGTTGCTGATTAGTTAATATCATTTATTTAGAGTGAAGTAATTAGCTTAGTAGGGATGAAATTTATACCTCTGTGTCCTAGTATGTTGATTTCGATGAAGTGCTTCCTGTTTAGTTTGATCCTTGATGTAATTTACATTTTATGTTGATAACCCCCAAGCCTAATTATTAATTGTCTTACATTACTGGGGACAGGTGTTCTTTTTTCTACGAAGAAACATCCAAGAACAAAGGATCTGTCGGTAAGTTGCTTGATAAGTTTATATCATTAGAATTGACACTGAAATATGTCCGTGTCATTTGACATTGGATTTGAGCTGAAATTTTATTAAGTCATACCATTTTCTTGGCAGACAGAAGATTTCTGGTTTACTGCCCCAAAGAAAGGAATTATGGTGTTTGCTTTGCCAGGAGAGCCTAGATTAACAGAGTTGTGTGGTGACTTTAAAGTCCTCTTTCATGATCGACAAGGAGATTTCTATTTGTACGGAACCTTACTATGTCTAAACCCTTATATTATGTGCTCTTTATTGGTGCCATTGTTTATAATTTACGTGTGTCTGACAGTTGGCTAAACACGATAATGATAGAAAATAGGAAGATCTTAAACACTAGTGATATGGATGGATTTGACAAGGTAAGCACCGACCTTTCAGAGGTGGTTTAATTTACTTGTAAGCACCACATTTTTATTGAACACTTATTCGAAAAGTCTGATTTGTTCTGTTTGCGAATTACCTAGATTTCTTAGTTATTGTTTTTTGTTTTCAATTTTCAGTAATTTTGAAAACTTTAAAAATATGATATCTATAAAAGTAGTTTCTATTTTATTGTTGTTAGTTTTCGAATTTAACATTTTACAGAGTAATAGAATTAATAGAAGTGTAGCTAATCTGAAGTTCTTTATGCAACTGATATCATGACTTGGAAATTCTCAAAATCAATACTTTTAGTGGTACCGATTGGTCCTTTAGCTGACAAATTATATCCTTTTTTAAATGCTGATTTTGTATGTATTTTTTGAACTTGTACAGCGGAAGCTGCCTTCCCCTGGTTTCCAAGTTGAGGTTGTTCTTGTAGACTATGATGGCACTCCTCCATCTCCTACACCTCAGCCTGAACCTGTGGTCCAGAAGCCCAATGACCAGACTGGCCCCCCTTCTGAACAAGTAAATGAGGTCTCGTCTGCTCCAGAAGCTAGCAAAGATCCTCAAGGTCAAGCTCAGAGTGAACAACAAGACAAAGATGATGTGTTTTCAGATGACGAGGTCGATGGATCAGGCTCATCAAGGAGTAAAAAGGCTCAAGCAGCTTCTTTAGCAGATACAAAAAAGTCAACTGCCTCTCCTGCTGATACTAAGTTCGCTTCAGATAAGTGCGTCAATCTCTCTGTGGCTTTGTGCCTTAATATAGGCCATACACCATGGTTTCTTTCTATATTCTCAAGACCATGCTATTTATATTTAATTAGATGAATTTATTGTTTATTATTAACTAATATGTATGTATTTTACATTATTTTGTAGTATTTTAAGCAAGTTCCTCATACATATTCTCAACAAATGATTGACGAGCTTAGGAAAGGTGGATTTCCTATGGTAACCGGATACCATCAACCAAATGACGACGACGATGATTTATGTGAATTGTAGATCAATATGGTATTGGTATATTTTGGGGCATTAATTTTTTTTTTTTTTTTAAATCAACATTAACTAGAAAGGTTTTTGATATTTAACTCACGTATTTGTTTGTATAGAACAAATTTTGTATGAATGATTCAATTTAATTGTGATTGGATGTTTTAAATTATATATATGAAGTATATTTTGATGGCTTTTGTCGTATCTGGAAATATTTTTGTTAATTTTATTATACTAAAAGTTATATTGCACGTACAATACAGGATCATGGATTTATTTTACAAAGGAAATGTAAAGATTTTCTTACAGGATATACTCCGTATAAATTTACAAGATATAAAACAGGAATACAGGTCTAAAATGAAATACAAAAATAATTCAGTTTATTAAAATACAAGAATAATACGGTATAGAATATGTAGAGGGGTAATTCTAATTATTAAATACGTATGGCTGGATTTTTTTTTTAAAAAAACATTAGAGAACTGTTATCTGACTTAACCGTTCTCTATTGTAATGCAATATAGAACGGTTAAGTGGACTAAACCGTTCTTTATTCCTTCCTTAGTGTGCGAATTTAAGAAGGGAAAAGAGAACGATTGTGACTAACAAGCGTTCTCTATTTGTTATTATATAAAACTCCTAAACAACCCGTTCTCTATACTTTATACATCGCTTAGCAGAAGAACGCCCCTAAGGCGATCTATAAAGCCTATTCTAACAGTTCTCTAAGGCCTTTTTTGTAGTAGTGTCAAGAACACCTTCCTGTAGAAGTCTCTTGATGCGTTTGATGTTAATATGGCCAAGACGACAATGCCACAAGTAAGTTTGGTTTGACGCCATGGTCTTAGCCTTTTATCATAAACAATTTTGTCTAAACACACAAAAGGTGTAATTTCCATAAATATAAATAAGACATTTAAACAAAAGGTCTTGTGATCAAGGTTAAAATGACGTCCAACGTCGCAAGATCAAAGTATGGTAGATAAAACTTAACAAGTTTTAGAATTTAAACAAAATACATGAGATTACAAGCTTTCTTCGGATAGATTTACTTCTTCTTCCACTTGTGTACTCATGACCACTTGAAAAACACCGCTCATTTCGTTCCTGAAATAAGAGCATAAAATGAGTCAATTTTCCGGTATCTAATACCTTATAAATTGCTTATTTTCGAGTGTGTAGATGAAACCTAAGATTGAGGCTATCTTTCCTCTTGCCTCATCTTCCAGATACTCGCTACATTCTCTTTTGTAGTGGCCTTACTTACTACAATAGAAGCAGCGCATCTTTGCCTTGTTTTTGAACTCCTTATTCTTGAGCCTTAGAGAAAACGTAGCCGCCTTGCAAGAATAGGTTTTCTGGAGCTCTTGGACAACTTCCTTGTAGGACAGTTTGTTCCGATTGTTGGTAAGTTGCAACTTGATTGCAACGTATCCCGAGTGGAGTGAGCTTAAAAGCATATGAGCCGCTTGCTCATCCTCCACCAGTTTACCAATCAGTTCAAGATGGTTAAATAACCTTGTCATCTTTTGCACATGGGCTTGAAGTGGCATCCCGGGTCTAAGTCTTGCACTATAGACCCTAGCCCATACTTCTTTCCTTTCTTTGCTAAGACATCCATCTTGCGGTGGCTTGATCCTCATGTTAGATAATGACCTAGTCACTTCTTCCACGAGTCCATCATAGTTTCCCTTATCGCTCTTTGTTACCCTCAAATTGACCACATCTTCTAGAGCCTTGATAAGTACATCCGGAAGGTAGTTGGAGAATTTCTTCTTTCACTGTTCTGGAATGGAGTTTTCCATGAGTCGAGAGACTCTCCTGCAATCATAACTCCACTCCTCATGTGCCATATCGCTCATAATCCCTTTTGAGTAGAAACTCGGGATGGGCGCATCCAAGATATGCTCTAGGTAGCAATTGCGGAGGTCAAACGGAGTTCCTCTTCCCATTCCTTGAAGTTTACCAAATTCAAGCTAAATGATAACTTCTCGGGAAGTTCAGGGAACATAAGATTGTTGTCGATAGTTGAAGACATGATTCTACATTTGAAAGAATTTTGAAATGAAAAAACCATTCATGATATTTAAATAAGATTGAATTCATGCATTTTTTAATCAAACTTATTTAAAACATCTTATTCACACATTTAAAATTGTCCCCATTTTGGGTGAGAATAAGTCGATTCCAAGATCCGAAGAAACAAAGAGTGGTTAAGCATGCTTTGGCTTGTCTTAACACTCAATCTCCTAAGGTAAGCAACGCTTTGCTAATGGCTCCAAGCTACTCTTGGTTGAATAAATCGTCGCATCTAATGCTCTCTCAACAATTTATTCATTTTTCCACGACATGTTAGGACTCCATCACTCATATCGTTGAGTACAACCAAAACCAACTTGCATACCCGGTATGCCTTACGCTTCTAGGAGAGGTAGTGATGCCTCGCTTTGGCGTAGCCCACCACTACCCTCGTTCGGTTGGTAAGTGTTGTTTTGGAATGGCAAGTTTTACTCAATATTTAAGGACCTAGGGTTTCTATGTTGGTTGATTTAAGTGAACTTAATTAATCATTACAACATTCGAAATCCTAAACATGCATCTAACATATAATTCATATACATAAACATATATATATATATATATATATATATATATATATATATATATATATTATATATATATATATATATATATATATATATATCGAAAAACATAAATATAGATGCATTTGACAACTAGCATGACCCCTTGAGACCTTCAAATCTTCAAAAGGTCTTCATTTGCAACTTCATGGCTACGTCTTCCAAGAGCCTCCATCTTCAAGACTTGACCATAATTAAATGCAACTACTAGTATCTACGATTAGGAATAATCTAAATATTAAGGTACAAAAATACTCAACGGTTCGCAGACCGTATTTATATTTACAAAAATACATTACGGATCGCAATCTGTATTTTCTATCCTAATCGGGCCCCACTAGTTGCCATTTCATAAAACCTGTGAAAGAATATACATTCCATTCATCCATTCACTATTTGTAAATGACCCATGCATTTTACAACGATAAACAAGTAACAATGCATAAACACGCGTGAACTAGTAACTAATCTAGGTGCTTAATCCAATTAACATGCCTAATTAAAACTAGTCAAAGTTGTTTTAACCGGTTATGTAAATAAGTGCAATTAATATTTGAAGCTCCCACTAAATTTCGCATCCAACTTAATTAATCCAATAAATTAAGACGGTAAAATCCAAAATTTGTCAAAATAAATTTTGCCAATGCCGCTCAAAACTTAGGCCTAGCCTCCAAAATTTTTTAAAATAATTAAAACCAAATTATATTAATAAAATAATTAAAACGACAATTTTTAAGCAAAAATTACATAGTCCAAAATGTCTAAGTGCCTAGCACTATGACATGGAGTGCTCACATTCCGCACAACCGTTTGATGCTCAATGAACGTGGGAGTGGGCCCGATGTCGCTAAGCGTTACACCGCCCACATCAGCGAACTTTCACACATCAATAACGTGGCCCTTGATAGCCATGTTGAACGAACTCATTGCACTACATTGCTTCGTAAGCAACGTCTACGCATATCCCTAATTACACGACGCATGCACCAAGTCCCAAGCCATGCACCAATGTGCTCGTGCTTGCACCAGCCGCGACCAGCCAAGCAAGCCGGCACACACGGCGCGCATAGCACCATGTTGCTGTTACGCCGTGCTGCTGCTTAGTGCTTGCTGGCGCGCCATGATGCTGGCAGCAAGCATCAGCCACGCATGGGCTTGCTCGCAAGCATGGGGCACCATCCTTGGCAGCCACATGCGGGCTGCTATGCAGCTCGGCTAGCCAAGTGATTTCCTTGCCTTGTTTTGCATGCCATAGCCTCGGGATTTTGATCCCAATTTTGCGTGACATAATTATTAATTCTAAATCAATTTTAGAACTAATTCATTGAGCAAAATAAAAAATTTAAACAAGTCTAACTTAAATAAAATTTTTAAAGTGCATGTAACCAAAATAATTCCCAAGAACCATTATTTAATTAAATTGGTTTAACTTGGTGCAACAAAAGTAAGAGGGAAATTACTCACAATTAATTTAATTGATTTAAATTAACCTTGAGTTTTTTACAAAATAAGAGGGAGTTGGAAAAAATGAACATAAGTTCAATAAAGATTCCAACTTTAATACTTGTGAATCCTTGAAAAATTATATCTTCCAATGTGAAGATAAACAATTTTCTATCACAAAGTTTCAAACTTTATGATTCCAATCAACTAAAAAATGATTAAATCAACAAAGTTTAACCAAAATTCATGGAATTTAGTAATATAAAGTTTCAATCACTTAACATAATTAAAGATTGAATCTTTAATACTTTGAAGCCTTAAAGAACAACAATTTCACACTTAATGCAATTAGTTTGCAATTATGTGAAAAATAAAACCAAGCTTTCAAGCACAAATTACTACCAAGTAATCATGCCTAAAGAGGTTTAAAATTGCATATAAAATATGTATTGAACCAATTACATAACCACCATAAATATGCAATTAATTTTCAAGGTTAGAAAGACTTAAAATTTTTCGTAAAAACAAAAAAACCCTCAAAAATTGCATTTCTAGTCGTTTTTTGGATAAAAACCGTGTACTAGAAGGATAAACCATTTCCAGAACACATTTTCCACCCAAAATTCACTATTTTTGGGTCGAAATTTGGGTTCGGGGCTGAAGATAGCTTAAATACGAGGTTAAAATAAATAAAACGAGCTACTAATCTAATTAGCACTTCAAGACCAGAAAATTAAGCCATAAAAAACACCTTGAAATTTTTTTATTATTTTAAAAATAAACGAGCGTGGCTCCGATACCGTTGTTGGGGTTTGGTAAGTCCAACTTACCGCGGAAACGACCCCGACCCAAAGAACCACTCGCAATTAATAAAACCATAAAGCATAAATAAATCAATTACAAGATTAAGACAAGATAATTACCTTTGGAGCGTGCTTCGCCCAAACAGAACGGGCTCTTACTTCGAAAGCAAGCCTCGAAAATACGACGGCCTCCTACGATAGTCCACCCACAACCCGACCACCAAAAATGGTCCAATACCTTGTAGTTAGCAAGGCCCGACCTAAAACCCGAGTGATAAATGAGTTCAAAGGTTTTCACAATGGTGATGCCTTT